ATAATAAACTGTTGTTACTATAATACATTGTGTTGTTTCCAACTACCTGAGACCGTAAAAAATTTCACAGTCCTTTATCTGTTTTCCAATATTTGTTTTTACATTAATGGCATTTTCTTTTTTTTTCTGATAATATTAGCAAGGCCTACCAGCTATACTTAAGTTGAACTATGGTTCACATGCACCGACACCCTTTGCTGTCCGAATCGTACGAGAGACCATGTCTACCTCTACCTTTGATGGCATGGGCCATATGGAGACCCTCGTAACAAGAATGGTTTATGTGGAGACTTCTTCTAAAAAAAAGAATCGGAAGGTACCAAGGGGACATTAAAAACTCATAAATCGAAGTAAAACTGACAACGCCATGGCAACAAAAGAAAAGGAAAGACGGCGAAAGACAGACAAGTCCACAAAACACTTTATAGAAACTTAGCCTGAGCAACACGAACTCGAAGAAAATCTGGGTTTTATCTCAGGTGTTCCGGAGGGGAAAACAGATCCTGCTCCACTAGTGGGACCCGTCATGCTGCATTTTAACCCAATAAACAAGACGGACTATTAAGTTGCATTAAGAAACCCAGAATTGAATTTATTTTGTTTTAGCGAAGACAATGGACTTTTTCTTTCTTAGACTTCTGCTCTCTCATGTAGATTGACTTCATTGTAACCAGGGATCCTTCGTCTGCAGTCTCGGCTTCTGAGTAAATTGGAAACATGACAATTTTAGAGTATTAATGTCACAGGGTAAATGGCCACATTTACAAGTATCTATGTAACAAAACCCACAAAAACCCCATAAAGCGACAGGCAAAGAGACATGCAAATAAACTCATGATAGATACCAGGATTAAAATTTTGTACGTCAGACGCGCGTTTCGTCTTCAAAAACTAATCAGTGACGCTCGAATCAAGAAATTGAAAAGGCCAAATAAAAAACGAAGTTGAAGAGCATTGAGGACTTAAAATTCTGAAAGGTTTTGCCAAATACAGCTAAGGCAATCTATTCCTGGGGATGCAAATCCTTAGAATTTCGAAAAATTAAAAGTTTTGTAAACAGTTAATCTATATAAATATGACCATATCAATAATTCATGTCACAGACTCTTAAGATCCCTGTGGTCGTACTCTTAGGACATGGCTAGGGTATCGATTGTACGATGCATAGAAATGGCTACATATACCACTATTTCTGCTACCACGGCCTATAGTGAAACTCCGTAACAAGACACGTCGAAAATACTTCAAGTTGATTATGAGAAATATTAACCGAGTCCTAATAAATATCCTTACTGATCTCAGGTTGTACATATCTTGAGTTTCTAAAGTACGATGCATTACAGAGGTCATGCCTAATACTTCTACCTGTAGTATCATGCCCTACATTGAACCAGTCTGATTAAAATCAAACCTCTCAGCGCTCCCGTTTTGTGATTTGTAGCGTGGGAGCTCCCACTCGCGACATATAAATAAACGATAGCAAGTGAGAGGTATATTGATTTGACTATGAAACATATGCACTGTACCATCTCTCCGCTTTCAGACTGGTAACGGTCAGATATCTTAGGTATGGTAAATAACAATGGCATTGAAACCCCCTCTTTCTTGTAACATAAACATCGTAGTGATTTTTTTTAAAGGCCAGTCGCAATACTTAAGTTGGACCATGGAACATATGTACCACCTTTTCTTACTAGATACAGTAATCGGGTTTTCTGTAGTACGGTCTATAGTAGAAGTCATGACTACATCTACCTTTCGTACCATTGTCCACGTGGATACTTTAAATAAATAGGCCAACCGTCAATACCTGACTATGGGACGAATGTAACGAACCCAATCCGCTAACCAGACTCAAAATTATGGGTTTAGAGTATTTGTTTTTATGGTGCGTAGTAGAGGTAGAGACCGTAGAGGTAGATTCCACTGATGGGTTTTTGAACAACGTAGAAAATCTCGATTAGACCAGCCGGTAAGAATTAAGATGGATTATGGTACATATGCACCAGTTCTCCTTCAACTTCTGTCACACTGGGTCTCTGGTATCTATTGTACTTCGTATCGTATGGCAGAGGTTACTCCCACCTCTACTTCAGATACCTTGGTCTACGTGAAACTTCTTAATAAAGTCAATCGGCAAAAACCAGTCCACCTCTGTTGCCAAACTCGTATGAGTCTAGGGTATAACATTCATTTAGCATGTGAAAGAAGCAAAGATGTGGCGTGAAGTTTAAGTACGAATTTCGATCATTTTCATGTTATCTAATCCTTAATGCGCTCCCGCATCAATGTTCACAAACTGTTTTTTGTACCTCAAATATTATTGTCGTGGTGAAAAGTAGACGGGTCCGGTGCATATGGCCAATATTGTCGGTATGCCTTATCAAAAGCCTTTCCGTGTTGGATATTCTACCAATAGTAACTGAGGCATCGCCTAAACTATGTACTGTACCACAGATTCCCCAGACCCGTATGGATATGAGAGCAGAGGGGTAATTTTGCATATTTACAATAATCTCACTTCATTGTTAGCAGCTGGGCTTGTTAAGAGAATTTACATGCGAGTACTATAACAAGAGGTAAGCATGGAGGCTAGTATGCTTGTACTACTGCCCTCATTGGTAGTCTCTTAATTAAACCATTCTGCAATATCGTTATATTTGAATTGGATTTCTTCGTTTCTTCGTAGTATTTTTAGTGATATTAAAGTTTTGAAAGTAACTTTAAGTATTTATTTTTCTGATATTTTCATTATCTTTTGATGTAGCTGTGAACACTAATAGAAGGTCATATTTAGGGTGATTTGTTTATGGTTGTCATTGAGATAACTATCCATCAGAGCCCTATAATTGGCCTTACCTCTTTACAATTTTGTGCGTTTTTTTTCGCAACCGAATGGCATATTATATGTTATAACTATGACTTTCCGATTTTTTTTAACATGTATTAATTAAAAAAAAAACTCTTAATTGGGACACCTTTTTTATATTAAGAGTAAGAACAAAACCAATTGTTCACACTGACATGCATTAAAAAGTATTTCTAAATTGATTTCGATATATTAATATAAAAAACTTATCAATACTGAAAGCTCTCAAAGATAATCTAAATGGTTAAAAGGACTATATCTACTTAACCAATGAGGCTATTAGCACAATTTTTCGGAATTATCAGTTTTTAAAGATCTACAATTTCGTATTTGATTTGACCTTCCAAGTGTTTTAATTCGAGCGCAACTGATGGGTCGTATGTAGACGAAACGCGCGTCTTGCGTATCTAATAGTAAGCCTTGTAAATTTGGTGAGTTTTTATTGTGATGGCTTTAAACGGACAATTCAGTTTTATATCTTTGTCCAATTTGTACATTGTGTGCACGACAATATTTAAAATATGATTGTGCAATAAAGAAGAGGCGAGGTTTATGAAGTATTTGTTTTTATTTAAGTTTAGATAATTAAAGTTTACTTTTTTGAAGGATGAGTACAAACTAGGTTTTGTTCATTTGGGACTGAGACATTCAATGAATAGCACGTACACTGTATATATATATGTATAAGTTTTGTTAAAAATATCCACCCGGTTATTGCTCTCCTATCAGACAATTCAAATGCACAGGTGTGAGATGAGATTTTTTTTAAATATATATTGTTTGAGTATATATGTTACAGTGAATTTGTATAATCAGGGATTATGTATTATACTAAAATCATTAGTGATTATATATAATCCCTGAAAATGACCAGTAATTTTATAAAATCACTGAAAATTTTGAGCATTATTTACAAATTCCCTGATATTATTTCAGGGATTATCAATAATACAATAAAACAAAGCTCTTTTGTTTAATAAAATTAATCAAATATGAACAAATGAATCATCTTTATCTCTTACCCTTTTAAGGTTGAACAGAACAATTTTCAGTCCCTGTTCATTTATCAACTCAAAAAGGAACAGTTTTTATTGTATTTGACTGTGTTGAAACACATTAACCCGTAAACCAACATTCAAGTATTTAAAATTGAAATTAACAATACCAACATTCTCAATAATAGTGATAACTGCACATGTATGCCATGATTTTATTGTTTGCCGAAAACAGCGTTAAATGCACATTCATGTTCTAAATGTAAATGCACAGTGCATGTAATTTGCTGTACAACAGATGGCGATGAAGGCTATTAAAAATCTGTTTTTGTTTTCTATGTTCCAATGAACAAGAAATCAAAACTTAGCAAACTAATGCAACTAAACGTACAGAAAAACAAACAGAACGCATGCTTGACAGATTGAACACAATTTTGGAGGAGGCAAACATTGGCTGTAAATGTTTTGATACCAATTCCTCATATTGATCGCGAAAAGGAAGATCCATAAATATAATGGCCATTGTTCATGAACGGCCTGAAAAGGATATTGCCTGGCTACGAAACTTAGAAGTTTGCTCGGATCCTACACAAAATATCAATTTGAGGTGGCTGATTCACTTTTGTGGCACCTTCAGACATTGTTTTTCTCTTCAACGTGCAGTAAAATCAGATGCAATATATACATGATATAGGAAGGACAAGTTTGTTTTTATTAAAGTGGAAGTTGTTGAAATAAAAAAACGAAAAGCATTGAAAATGGTTGATTGGTAAAGCTGCAATAGTAGATGTCATCCAAATGTACATTGCTGTTTATAAAAATAGATGATAATTTATCAGAGTATTGTGCTTAATATTTTAATATTCATGCTTCCTATCATGTTTAAATATGATTTTATAGAATAAATTATTCAACTTTTATTCATTGTCTCTTCATTCCAATTATTATGTATAATCTCTGACATTTTTTCTAGTGATTATGCATAATTCCTGAAAATTTAAGCGAATATATATAATCACTAAACTAACCACTGATTGTACATAATCCCTGTGTTCTGTGGTTAAAGGTAATATTCTTCGATCACGTGACAAACTGTATAACAGGAAGTAAAAAAAACCCAACAAGTTAATGCAGGTATGGTGGTATCTAAACCATTATACGATACTTTAGAAATATTGTCCTGTCCTATTTGCTCTGAAACATTCAAGTCACCGAAAATACTACCATGCTTACATACATTTTGTGAACCATGCATACACGAGTTTATTATATCGACTGGGCGCAAAAAAGACAACAAAATGTCAGAGTTTGCATGTCCCATCTGTAGGACAATAGTGATTCCATTAAATTCTGATGAATCCATTGAAAAATGGACTTGTACATTGCAGGACAATGCTACTATAGCAACAATCATTGCGCTATCAACAGGAGACACAACACAGGAGTGTCATGCTTGTAAACGATGGAATGAAAAATCGGACGCTAAGTTTTGGTGTAAGATCTGCGAAGAAGCTCTATGCAAAAAGTGTAATCAAATGCACAATCGAATGAAACTGTTATCTGCCCATGTTGTAATCGAAATTGAGGAATATGGTTTAACTACATCTGGAATAGATTTAAATGCAATATCCAATCAGTGTCCAATGCATCCTTCAAAAGAACTTGAAATATTCTGCTGTCGTCATAGAGTACCATGTTGCGTTTTATGTCTACTTTCAAAACATATAGAATGTACAGGGCTTAAACCAATTGAAGAAGTTTTTGTTGAGAACAATGATTATGAAGCCCTTCCGGAGAAACTAGGAAGAATTAAAGACGCGACAATCAAACTGCTGACGGAAAAGGAACAACATAAGTCGGACTTTATCAAGAGTACAGAGACCGTCGAGGAAGAAGCAGCAAAATTTGCTGAAACGATCAAATGTAATATTGACAATTTATTTGAAATGTTGAAGAAGCAATTACACATATTTCGTGATGAACAGAACACAAATTTTAATGTTCGCATACGTTTATTGGAACAATTTGTCAAGAGTCTTGAACACTGGATAAGTGTTACGAAAATTGTAAAGGAATTAGGGTCCAACACTCAGTTGTTTGTTCATGTAGAGACAACGAGAAGCCAAATTAAAGCCAGTATCATAGAACTTAATAAAAAATTTCAGAATGAGAATCTTATTACTCTTAATCTTAAAAGGAATGAAAGAATTGAACAGCTACAAACTGCGGAGATATTAGGCACATTAGAACAAACAAAAGAACTCTTAGTAGATCAAACTCTGGATATTTTCAAAGTCTGTAAAGATTTGGGTGTATTTACCTGTCATACATTTGAAGAACTCAGTGTGAAGAAGCTCAACACATTTAGTTTTAAAGGCTCGGCAATGAGGTGTGGCGTATACATAAGTGATAAGTACATAGTAGTTGGAGATGGAGCGACCGAAGTAAAATTGCACATGCTTGATAAACATACCGGAGCTATTATAGATTCGAAGGTGTTAACTGGAGACATTAAACGGTTGTGTTATGATTCTAAATTCAATCAAGTTTTTATTTCTTGCTATTTTAAAAACCTATATGTTGCCACAATACATGAAAATACAATTACAACGCCACAGAAAATCGCATTCAGAAAGGAATATGTTGGAGCATTATTTTCTCATAATGAATTTGTTTTCCTGGTAGTGCCCAATGCAATAAGAAAATTTGTTAAGACATTTAATCCCGACAACGTAGGGGAACTGACACATTGTTTTTCAACGAACACTGAAAATGGATTAGACGGTATGAATATACATGACGATGACATTATTTTTACAACAAAGAACAAAGAAATCAAACGTGCCACATTAGAAGGCCAAACTATATATTGCTATCAAAACAAAACGATTGTGACTCCGGAGTGTCTGGCTGTGTTACCATCTGGACTGGTCCTGTTTGTTGATAGGAATTACAAGGGTTCCTTACATGTTTTATCTGCCGATGGTACAAAACATAGGACATTGCTTGAAAATTTCGGGAAGATAGAAAATCCAAAGGATATCTGGTTGGATGTGGATAAAGAAACTATATACATTGCTGGAGGAGAGTATATCGAAGTGTACTGTCTCTATTAGTTGAAACCAGATTGAACCATGACACGTGGTGTTTTACATGTTTACAAACCCAGACGTTTGAAACACGGTTTTAGTTATAGTCAATGGACTACCGTACCTTGCAATGGAATGCGCTTGATTTCTAACTTGTTTTTATGTTTCATGTACACATGTCATTGTATTAAATAATTTGCGTGTTAGCCTGATATGACTAACAGGAGATGTTGGGTTACCGTTAATGAGACAGGAACCCACCAATACAACAAAACCATAAAAGACACGCAAAGATCAACATGTGTTCTTCAATGCTATGCAAGTGTTTATATTACTACATGTACATGTATGTATGAGTCAATCTCTTACACTGTTCCGAATCTAAGTAAATAACTTAACAGAGTATTATAGATCTGTTAAAACCAAAAGAAAAGTAAGATATAAACAAACACTGACGAGACTTTGGACAGGCACATTGACATATGACGGAGATTACTAGTTTTTCGAGTACTTAATTACACCATTTGTTTTAAAGTTGAGTAAACACTATACATGAATACACTTAAGGAACCTGTTGTTCAGTGGTTGTCGTTTGTTGATGTGGTTCATAAGTGTTTCTCGTTTCTCGTTTTTATAAGATTATACCGTTGTTTTTCCTGTTTGAATTGTTTTACATTAGCCATTTTGGGGCCCTTTATAGCTTGCTGTTCGGTGTGAGCCAAGGCTGCGTGTTGAAGGCCGTAATTTGACCTATAATTGTTAACTTTTTACACATTGTGACTTGGATGGAGTGTTGTCTCATTGGCACTCATACCACATCTTCTTATTTCTACTTAAAATGTTTTATTCATTAAAAAGGCTTTCCTAAAAGATTCACATTTTTGTTATTAATATTGATGACTGCAAAGTTTTGTTTTGCTTTTAACGAATATTTGTTTTCCATGGGAACACAGTTGGGGAAGAAAAATAGTAAGGCGTCGTCCTTCTGCTTTTTTATCCATATTTCCGACACATTGTTGAAGGTACCGCATAGGTTAAGTCTTGCGTCCCGCCTCGGTGGTCTCGTGGTAACATGTCAGCTCGTGTGCGGTAGAACGTCTGCTAGACCCCTTTCCGGGTTTAAAAAAAGATAAAAAATTTTGTATTTAATTTCTCTACGCTTTGCACGAGGGATTTAGAGTTAACAGCAAAGACTGATCGGTTCGAAATCAGAATATTTATTTATTTAATATACTAGTAATACATTAACATGTTCTTGTTCTGATATATAAAATTAAGAAGATGTGGTATAATTGTCAATGAGACAACTCTCAACAAAAGACCAAATGACACAGAAATTAACAACTATAGGTCACCGTACGGCCTTCAACAATGATGCATGCAAATTTTGCCACTGGAATTTAACTCCAAATACATCTTTCTTTTAAATTGTAGAGCTCAAGTCTTGAATTCAGTCTTCTTTGCTTTGACATTGGAACGTCTTTGATTTATTTCATTTCAAAGTCATACGTCCAAGGTAAAGGTCACACATAGCAGCATTAGGGAAACCAGTCATTTAGATTATGTAGGATTTGATGGAATGCTGAACAATGGGGTGTCCCGGTTATCTTCTTTATTACTCGGATACTTTGCATTTCTTCCCGTAATAATCAGTTTTTGCTATTGTATTACTGAAGAAAAGACCACCAAAAGAGCGAAATCGATATTCGTATCTTAGTCAAGACATTTAATCAAAGATGGTTTTTGATGTTTTACGTTTTTGCCTCTTTTGGTTCTATTGATCCTATGATTATAACATCCTATTGTAGCTGTCTCAACTTTTGAATTGATCAAATCGTTATTGATTGTGGAATTCAGAAATGTACATCAAATATAGCAGAAACTATAAATTTTCATTTAATCAAGTTTTACATGTTCACACACACACACACACATATATATATATATATAATATTTCGACTCTTCAAAATTTAAGAGTCTATCCTAAATTGAGGTAAATTATATGGCCTTCCAAATACCGTTTCGATCCCTAACATCACTGAAGAGACATTAATTGTCGAAATCCGGATATGGTGTACTAATTTTTGCACCTTTTGTTTGCTGTATTCCATCATTTCCGCAAGTTTATTGTTTTCTGTTTGGTATAAAATTAATAATTTTAATAGATCCATTTTGTAACATCTTGTGATCCGTTTATTTGGCAATCGCCAATGGCAGTCAGCAGGGTTTAAGAACATCTGTTGTTCGACCTGTTAGTCAAATGCGTTTTGTTAAAATATACTTTTTCACTTTTTTGGTCTTTTGGAAAATGTTGTCTGTGCTGTATTTAGACCCCTCTATCAAGAAATTTGTTTTGCATGCACACGTATAAAAATTGCGGTTTTTATCCAACGCAATCATAGGTTTGAACGTTGTTTTCAATTTAGACTTGTTTATATATATATATATATATATATATATATATATATAACCAGTCTAAAAGGCTACAACATCACCAACAAATGACAATTAACAAACAAATGTAACTATAAATATTTCGGATAACAGATATCCTTCATCAGTATGAGCACGATGTAAAATGAATCAGATCAATCTATTCTGATTATTAAATTATAGCAATCTTGGATTCTATACAATAAAAAAAGTGAAACAGTTTCACCCGAACATCATATGTAGAGACGCTAATACATTTTTAAAATTTTCAAAAAAACGACTCAAAGACATGCCAAAAATTAAAATAGTAATTAGAGATATGAACTGGCACAACTCTAAAATTCCAAAATGACGTCAGTTAAGATGTTACAACAACTGCGTGTAAATACATTCCCCCCCAAAAAAAACAGCACTGATCGATATAAGCTGGTAAAATATATCAAACTGAGGCTGCGTATTTATCATCCCAAATAAATAGCAGTTTTATAATGAAAAAAAAAAATAATAGTAAATTTGGGCTAAGGTTAAATAATTTACATCCCAAAATGAGTGAAAAATAAAACTTAGTATTTTTTATTGATGCCGTTTGGATGATGTACATTTAGTTCCTTTATCCAAAAGTTTCCCGAACCTGTCGCTGGGCATCACTCCAGTGAATGTTCTGTTCAATCACTAGGATCTTCATGCGGTTAAAGTCATCAAGTTTGTGACCAGACTGTCTGAAATGCTGAGAAACTGGGAGAAGTGGCTTCTTAGAGATATCACTCCTATGGCCATTGAAGCGTTTGCGGAAAGGCTGCTTTGACTCACCAACATATTGGAGGCCACAAACCGAACATTCTAGAATGTAAATAACATTCATACTTTTGCAGTTAACATTGCAAAATATCCTACAGTTATTTTCGGTTGCCTTACTGTGAAAAGTTGATGAGTGATGCATCTGTAGGCAGCATTTGCAGCGAATTCAGAACATTCACTGGAGTGATGCCCAGCGACAGGTTCGGGAAAGCTTTTGGATAAAGCAACTAAATGTACATCATCCAAACGGCATCAATAAAAAATACTAAGTTTTATTTTTCACTCATTTTGGGATGTAAATATACACAGTCACGTATATTTGAGTATTGAGTTTTGTTTTATATTATGATGTTCAGGATTTTGGATTAAATCAATAGACCAAAACTTACCTGTATTACTGAGCTATTTTTATACATATAATCAGTATTGTTAAAATTATTGACACTGAAGAACGCTATTTGTTAAGCCGAAATATTTGTCAACACGATTTAATAACAACATCTTCGTATAACACCATCTTATATTAGTATCGTTGTGCAAATCTCTAGACTTATATAATTTTTTCCTTATCTGCACAGTATCGTCTATTCTAGACGATCCGGTACATAGTAAATTTGCTGGTTGGTCCTTTTTATAGACTTCAATATATATATATAGGAAAAAAAAATAAGGCTGCATAGGTACTTAAAACGAAAATTATGTACTTTCACTTTCGTTTTAAGTACCTACGTTGTGCTATATAATGACCTTCAGGACTAAATAATAATGTCGCTGATGGACGTTACCCCTGACGACGTCCCCAGCAACCATATCCTTGAAGATCTGTTAAACAGTGAAACCGGCAGGATACTATGGAGAACATTTTTGAACAATTTGTTATTGTAATAGACAAAATGTGAATATTCATATTGAATATAAATATTTGGTGCATTTTCAGCCTTATTTTTTTCCCCTATTTTATGCAAAGCGTGGACATAATTTAAAACTTTTTAATATATATATACAAGTCTAAATTGAAAACAACGTTCAAACCTATGATTGCGTTGGATAAAAACCGCAATTTTTATACGTGTGCATGCAAAACAAATTTCTTGTTAGAGTGGTGTAAATACAGCACAAACAACATTTTCCAAAAGACCAAAAAAGTGAAAAAGTATATTTTAACAAAACGCATTTGACTAGCAGGTCGAACAACGGATGTTCTATATATATATATATATATATAGCCAAACAGACACCACAGACACATCAAACTTCACCAAAAGCTTAAAATTTATTTTTGCAGGAAAAGGACAAGTCTATCCCGCTAAATTTGCAGTTCATGTGGTATGATGATTCGACCATTCCTTTTTTGTTGGATTTTGTTGGCAAACCTTTTTTTCGACTAATTAAAAACAAACAGCATTTTTCTTCAACACCATACAGGAACATGAATAATTTTTTTGAAACTCAATGACGTATCTTATTCAGTTAATTTTGAATGGAAACAAACTATTTTTTACTTACCTTCTGAAACAAATTTTTTTTTCAAAAAATTTAGAATAAAACAAATTATGTAAAAAAACCAATGTCTTCCACTAAAGATTAATGGTCAATACCTTTAAACTACAGTCAATGTTAAAAAAATTAAAACAACACTTTATAAATTTCATGCGTCCGAAGCACTTCTCTGGATTTACCTTCATCGAGAACGCTTAAAGTTCAATATTTGAAAGCCAAACATGTATAGGAACCGAAATAGTTGAATAGCTATTTGACTGAAAAGGATCTAAAAATAATAGCCAAATCCATCCAAGGTCAACTTTGACTGAAGGAGTTGAAACCTTAGTGTCTTTATAATTTTTAAATTTATGTACGGACAATTTAAGAACGGTTTGTGAAATTAAAAAATCGTCTAAAAAGGTAATCCACAATGCTTTTCAATATAAAATGGTTGCATACGCTATAAATTGATTACTTTGGGATACCATACGGCATATTTTGTTAATAGTGAACAAAAAGGTAAAACATGCTACACAGAGGAACAAGTGATCAGTATGCTGGAGTTTCTTATTGACAACATATTTGTTGAATTTGGAGGTAAACTTTTTCAACAAATTGTCGGCATTCCTAATGGAACGAACTGTGCGCCTCTCCTTGCCGACCTCTTCTTATTTTCATATGAGTCGGAGTTCCTTTAGACACTTGTCAAAAACAAGAAGATCATTTAATTTCACATTTAGATATATTGATTATATTCTTTCCATTAACAATCCAAACCTTTCTGCTTGGGTTCCATTAATATATCAACCCGAACTAGAAATTAAAGAAACAACAGACACGGCTTCCTCCGCCTCATTTTTAGACTTATAACTCGAATTTGACATAAGCGGTCATCTCAGTAGCAGAATCCATGTCAAACGAGACGATTTTAATTTTGAAATTATCAATTTCCCCCCACCTAAGTAGCAATATACCAAATTTACCTGCATATGGGATATACGTTTCCCAACTCATTCGGTATTCAAGATCTTGCAGATGTTACTCAGACTTTATAAAATGTCACCAGTGTCTGACTAGTAAGTTGATGAACCAGGGGTATGTCAAAGAACGTCTCGTCCTTTTTCTAAAAACGTCCATCGGAAGACACCAAGACCATGTTGATAAATATTCCGTATCAACTTCAAAAATAATACATGATGGTCTTGAAGTATAGATTCTAGGTACTGACGTTGTTTATCATCTTAATTACGTGTTTTAGTGTTCTTTTATATGTGTCTTTATAAATTATTAACCTTTACTGTTTAGTCCATTTTTAAAGGCAGTGCTTTAATGCCTTTCTAGTTGCCGGGTTAATCCTTCCTTCCGCGATATCCAACTTATCTACGTGGGGGGTCATTAGACTCCAAGTAGATCCGGAAATGTTGAATTCTCTCCTCTTCTTATTGCGATATAAAATGTTTTTTGTTTCATTTCATTTACATTGGGAAATAGAGAAACGATCATTGTGTTTTGTTAGTTTTAAAAACTTTTGATATATTAGTATTTTGCATTATAAGCAGTCAACCGATTGACAAACTAGAATTATTTGAATTCCGTGTGGAAAGAGCTCGGGTTAATTTCGAGTGTTATCTGCAATCTAGATGTTTATAAATCATTTCAGTCGTTGATATAATAATTAAAGGTCGACTGAACATGAATTATATTATACAATTTAAAGCGCATTTCTGTTTATGCACGTGAACCCGTCTAACGTTAGTTTCGCAGTTAAATAAAGTAGCAAATTATCGTTCCTGAATAGGTGGCGCCGTGGTAGCGGATCCTGTTCCTCTTCTTCCGGTTTCTGCACTGTGCAACTATTTCAGTTATATTTTTAATTAACGATGCCAAGTACTTGTTGTTGTGTACCTGGATGTCATTTAAGAGGAGGACATGCATTTCCAAATGACTTAAAAAGAAGGAAAAGTTGGATCAACGCCATGGCCCATACGCAGATTGGACGAGAACACGATGATATCGTGGAGTCCATCTCAATCAGCAGCTGTTGTTTGCAAGGCACGTTTTACTGAAAAAGACTACGTGCAGGAAACTATTCATGGTAAAACTCTATTTTCTTTGTGAAATATATAGTTATATATGTAATCTCCATGCGAATAAACCAAAGTCTGTTTACAACCGCAATTATCGTTTTAGAATAAAAGGGGGTGGGTAATTCAAGACGTCATAATTTTTTGGTTTACGATTCAATGTGATCTGTTTGAGATTTTTTGGTGATTGCTACAATTATAATGATTTCTTACACGAGGTATATCATACTGAGAATTATTTTAGCAGTAATTATGCTAATGTAGTAATGACAGGAATGCATAAGCTATGCCTCATAGACTTTCTTGAAAAATATCAATGACAATGTTAACAGGAACAAAACAATGACATGCTCTCATCTATATTATAGTTATTTAGGTACAAACAATGTACGTTTGTTGCATAAGTCTCTCATTGTTTGTCCTTTGGATTTACATAACATACATTAATATTGAATCAGGCAAACATAGTTTTATCCAGATTGTAATGAATAAATCTAGTTAATATTTCGCCAGGTAGTACAAAGTATACATTGCTAATGGAAGTTCATTTAATTATAAAAAAACTAATGTTTTATAACCTTTTTCAGGGCGCAAACCCACCATACAGAGACTTAAGTCTACTGCAATTCCCAGCCTATTTTCCTGGACCAAGCAAGAGACTGAATCGTCCACAAAAAGAAAAATCAGGGCAGTTTCCTGTGAAAACAAAAGAACTAAACTTGATGAATATTGTAGTAGAAATCTAGAGGAAAGTTTTGATTGTAAAGTTGGTTTTCCTGAAGAAGTCATTCATACTGCAGAAAGGATTTATGACTGTCCACCACCAACTGCCGAGCTAATGTTGAGCTTCACAGATGGAATTACGCAAACACGATCAATGCCTATGTTTTCCGCAGAGAATTTTGAAATGAAGACACGTGACACAGCCATGCATTTTTATACCGGTTTAGAGTTGTATACTAAATTTTTATTTGTTTTGACCACACTTGGTCCAGCAGCACATTGTTTGAGATACATATATTTTCAAATTGATAGGGTGTCAGTTTTTTTATGACTTTGATGAAATTGAGGCATCATACAACCAACTTTGAACTGTCTAGATTCTAGATTGAATCTAGTGTTAAGAATATTGTGTATACATGGATTGTTTTTATGTCTAAACAGTGGTGTGAGGCTAACACTTGGCCATCTAGTGGTTTAGTCAGGTATTTTTCACCATCCAACTTCAAATTAAAGTTTCCTACGACTTGGATTATTATTGACAGCACAGAATATCCCGTGATAAAACCTAAAGCTCCTAGAGCTCAGGCAACCTTTTCATCAAATAAAAACAGAAACACTGAAAATTCTTGAATGTTCGACACCTGGTGGTTTAGTCAACTATGTCTCTATGTCACATAGAGCGAATTATTGGACTTGGCAAAACATACAAAATTCTAATAAATCCTATGAATGGAACTGAAACAAAACTTTCATCTGAAATAACATTTAGTTGTTTTATGTTGTGTAATTTTAGAACTTGTATTGTGCCAAAGGATGCATAAATAAAAGTGACGCAATGAATTTTGTTCTGATATATATATATTTACAATTACATGCACATGTAAATTGTAATGCATATAAAAATAAGGAGATGTGGTATGATATTCAGTGAGTTTATCAAACTAAAGTGCATAAGAAATGGGTTTAAGCAGTTACAGGTGTTACTGTCACCGTACAATCTCTAACAATGAGAAAAACTCGTACCCTGTAAAAAATTTCAGAGATCTTTCAACTAAGTTTTGTTGTCTCACCTTGACTTTGGTGAATTTTTTATATCTGTTGATGTAAATATAAAAAAGAAGATGTGGTATGATTGCCAATGAGACAACTCTCCACACATGCACAAGAGACCAAGTAACACAGAAATTAACAGCTATAGGTCACAGTACGGCCTTCAACAATAAGCAAAGCCCATACTGCACAGTCAGCTATAAAAGGCCCAGAAATGACAATGTAAAACAATTAAAACAAGAAAACTAACGGCCTATTTTATGTAAAAAAATGAACAAATATAACAAATATGCAACACATAAACAAACGACAACCACTGAATTACACTTTTATAGGCTCCTGACTTGGGACAGGCACATACATGTACATACAGAATGTGGTGGGCTTAAACATGTTAGCGGGATCCCAACCCTCCCCCTAACCTGGGACAGTGGTGTAACAGTATACAATATAAGAAAGAACTATAAAAATCAGTTGAAAGAGGCTAAACTCATCAGATGGATAAATACAAATACAAGTGGACGTGGTCGGGTAGTTGTACATCCAAACAACAAAAAGACACTAAGTACAAATCTGAGAGTACTCGCAGTTACTGACAGCTAGTTCAAAGCCACTAACAACTGATAATAAAATCTTGCATCTAAGACTAAATTATCAATCCGTAAGCTCCCTTTAGAATTTTATAAATTTTAGATTTTACATTTCTGAGTTATGGGGTTTTATTCATTAAAAAAGGGGGGATTTTCCAGTTTTTGGACAACAACTCAAAAATGCTTTAAGCAGTTCACATGAAACTTTGGTGAATTATTTATAGCTATTGATGTAATCTCCCTATTGATTTTCATAAATTTCAAATATGACATTGAGAAGAAATTGAACTTTATTTGTTTATAGTCTGGCAACAGATTTATTAAGTATTGCACAACAGCACAGTGTATTGCACAACAGCAAGAAATCTTTAATTGAATATAAATTCAATTCATATAACCGATTTCAAGTTCATTGACTACATTTATTCAGAAACTATAATATGTCAAATATTTAATTACAATCCAAATTCAGACCTGTATCAAGCTTGAATATTGTGTCCATTTTTGCCATTCCCAGCTGTTCAGGGTAGTACCTCTGCGGGTGTATCCAGCTGCGCTCAGCGAATCAGTTTATTTCTTAATTAAGAACTCCTTTTTATACGACCGCAAAAAAATTTTTGTGGTCGTATATTGGTATGACGTTGGCGTCGTCGTATTCGTCCGAAGACACATTAGTTTTCGCACTCTAACTTTAGTTTAAGTGAATGGATCTCAATGAAATTTTAAAATAAGGTTCAATACCACAAAAGGAAAGTGGGGATTGATTTTGCGGGTTATAGTACCAACAGTTAAGGAATTAGGGGCCAAAAATAAGCATTTTTGTAACTTCCAGACATAACTTGTGTGTAAGTGTATGGATCTCTCTGACATTGTACCACAAGGTTCCATATCACAAAGGGAATGCTGGGATTGATTTTTGGGGGTAATTGCCTCCAAATTTTAGGAATTAGGGGCAAAAAAGGGGCAAAAAACAAGCATTTTTCTAGTTTCATGACAATAACTTGTGTGCAAGTCTATGGATCTCTCTGACATTGTATCACAAGGTTCCATATCACAAAGGGAATGCTGGGATTGAATTTGGGGGTAATTGCCTCCAAATTTTAGGAATTAGGGGCAAAAAAGGGGCAAAAAACAAGCATTTTTCTAGTTTCATGGCAATAACTTGTGTGTAAGTGTATGGATCTTTATGAAATTGTACTACAAGGTTCCATATCACAAAGGGAAAGCTGGAATTGAGTTTGGGGGTAAATTGCCCTAAACGTTTAGAAATTTGGGACCAAAAAGGGGCCAAAAAACAAGCATTTTTCTAGTTTCCAGACAATAACATGTGTTCAAGTGTATGGATCTCTCTGAAATTGTACTGCAAGGTACCATACCACAAAGGGAAGGCTGGGATTGAGTTTTGGGGTGATGAATCATAAGGGGGTTCAAAAAATTTGGGGGGGGGGGATTCTTTTTCCTTTTTTTCTTTAAAATTTTCCATTTTAAATTGGTTATTTCTGATTTATATATAAAAGCAAATAATAATGATATGGTTTGAATAGGTAAATTAAATTTTTTTAAGTATCTTAGAGAAACCTATGCTGTGTCAAATATTTAATTACAATCCAAATTCAGTGCTGAATCAAGCTTGAATGTTGTGTTCATACTTGCCCCAACTGTTCAGGGTTCGACCTCTGCGGTCGTATCAAGCTGCGCCCCAGCGGAGCATTTTATTTCATTCATAAATTACTTTCTGCTTGGAAATATAATTTTGCTTGGAGTTGGAAGAGTTGACATGTTGCAATGTACATTTATTCTACATAGTTCTATGGTACCAAATCAAAAGTTTATATAAAGAAAGAAGTCAAAGGTTTCCCATCATAGTTTAGTTACATACATTTTTTTTGTACCTGAGGTCGTTGAATATAGATCATTATATAAATAAGGAGATGTGTTATGATTGCCAATGAAAAAACTAAGGATTTTCTTATCCAAGGAATAGATTTCCTTAGCCGTATTTGGCACAACTTTTTGGAATTTTGGGTCCTCAACGTGCTCTTCAACTTTGTACTTGTTTGGCTTTGTTACTATTTTGATCTGAACGTCACTGATGAGTCTTATGTAGACGAAACACACGTCTGGCGTATTAAATTATGATCCTGGTACCTTTGATAACTAATTTGACTATAAACATAGATAAAAAAGGTACAAACTGGACATAATGCACTAGTTCATAAACAAGTGAGAACAATCGCCTTCATATAGTGCTCAGAATATGACATTCATAAAACTTATTCAATATCATTAGAGAACTCTAAATCTTAAATACTGAAAGCCACCTCTGATAAGTACACTGTACTATGCAAGATAATGATATAACTGGACTTAAAATACACACAACCTGTAATTAACTGCCTTTACAGCGCTTTCGTGCTTTGATTGGTAATATCCTATTGGCGTGCCTCGGTACTTATACATCCCGCCATTGTGTTATTGTTCTATGGTCATTTTGTTGTATTCTTGTCTTTCATTTGCTTATGTGCTTTGTCTATATGCCATTTTGTTTTTTCTTTGTTAACATATTTGTTTGTTTTTATAGTGATTAAGATTATAACAAAGTGTTGACTGTTGTACCCCTTTTTTTGACATTTTTACCTATTATGTCTGTTTGTTTTGTTCACACATTGTTGTCAATATAATGGAATTTTATGCGACTTTCAGACAGGTGAGAGGTTTAGCTAGCTATGAAACCAGTTTTAATGCACCATTTTCTATAAGGAAATGCCTGTACAAAGTCAGGAATATGACAGTTGTTGTCCATTCGTTTGATGTATTTGAGCTTTTGATTTTTGCCTAAGTGACTTACCGTTTTGAATTTTCCTTGGAGTTCGATATTTTTGTTATCTTACTTTTTGTTATAAATGATTTGTTCTATTCAATATTTTTTTTATCTTTTGCTGAAGGCCTCATTATGACTTTGAGGTGTAGAATATCAATAACGGTCCTATGCCTTGCCTCTGTGTTGCCAAGTGCGTGTAGGATTTTTGTGTCAAGAATTTATACACCACATCCCTTCTTTTTACATAGTTTAATGAATACGATGATCTTTGATAAAGACAACTTGAAAATAGATGGATTACAGTCATTTTTGACCGCCGTATTGTGTCACTTTGTTAACACTTGTACTACCTCACGTACCATTTAGTCTGCATATGAACAAGACGATTATTAACATTGCGATATATTATGTTTTCCCGTTTTAATTGTAAGCTAATGCAAAAAAACAAAAAAATATTAATGGTTTGAAATAAGCCCTTAAAATGGTAAGTCCCATTTAGATTTTTCAATGCTAATGTTATATTCACGGCAACTTACGAAATAGTACTGAGAACTGTGCGCCTCTCCTTGCCGATCTCTTCTTATTTTCATACGAATCGGAGTTCCTTCAGACACTTGTCAAAAACAAGAAGATGAAAGAAGCCAGGTTATTTAATTTCACTTTCAGATATATTGATGATGTTCTTTCCATTAACAATCCGAACTTTTCTGATTGGGTTCCATTAGTATATCCCCCAGAACTAGAAATTAAAGAAACAACGGACACGGCTTCCTCCGCCTCATTTTTAGACTTAAATCTCGAATTTGACATACACAGTCATCTCAGTACAAGAATCTACGACAAACGAGACGATTTTAATTTTGAAATTATCAATTTCCCCCACCTTAGTAGCAATATACCAACTTCACCTGCATATGGGATATACATTTCCCAACTTATTCGGTATTCAAGAGCTATCAGCTCCTACTCAGACTTTGGAACGTCACCAGTGTCTGATCAGAAAGTTGATGAACCAGGAGTATGTCAAAGAACGTCTCGTCCTTTTTCTAAAAAAGTTCATCGGAAGGTACCAAGACCTTGTTGATAAATATTCCGTATCAACTTCACAAATAATACACGATGGTCTTGAAGTATAGATTCTAGGTACTGACGTTGTTTATCATCTTAATAACGTGTTATAGTTTTCTTTTATTTGTCTTTATTAATATTACTTTTACTGTTAAGTCTGATTTTTTTTGTGATATCCATTTGACGTGACTCTGTCTTATGTATCCCGTCATACTTTGAACGACAAAATTATTTTATTTTTATCAATATTACTTTTACTGTTAAGTCTGTTTTTTGTGATATCCATTTGACTTGACTCTGTACTTATGTAT